TCAGACCATGCTCACAGCCATCTGTACGCAGAATTTCCACTGCCAAGTAGAGAAGACTGTCACCTAGTTCCCTGAATTTGCACACAGACGAATCTTAGATACATATTGTTCAACTTATTCCATCACCAAAATTCCTGTATACCTTATTTAAAAAAATTGTTTTCATTCATTGTCTTGAACATATTTTTCATTGTTTTTTATTTACGAAACATATTTGTTGAAGTATAGAAAGAAATGGAATTTGTGTCCAACTCTCTGGAGTGTTCTTGTGGGTTGCATACCCAGAATCCACTAATGGGCTCATTAGTTATTTAATAATTAGGTAATTGGTGTTTGGATTATTTTATATTGTGCAGATAATCTCGGCAGGTTGTTAAATAGATGTCCAAATGGTTTTGATAATATTTGTGAAAATTGGCTAAGAAGCGATTGTTGTTTTTTTCTCTGGTAAAATAATGAAAACAGTTGGTATTCAAAATGTTGATACCCTTGACACTTAAAGAACAATTGCTACCCAACACACTGTCAGGAATGGATTAGATTTTGACAATGAGGGATGTTGCTATTTGTGCTGTATATTTATTTACTGATCACCACAACATAAGCACCATGAAGCTAGAGACATCCCTGCACAAAGAAGGGTGCTTTCACATTGGAAGATTGCAGTGGGTATTTGTAGAATGAATGTAGTGATGAATGAGCGCCTGTTGTATACCAGATAGTGTGAGGGACATGATTTATGAAAGGGTGACAAGACAGATGAGGTTTCTGTTGTTAATTTAAATTTAAATTGACCCTTGGTGCACTGCCATGTTCATCACAGCTCTGTTTACAATAGGCAAGACATGGAACCAACCTAAATGTCAATTGAAGGACGATTGGATAAGGAAACTGTGGTATATACACACATGGAATACTACTCTGCCATAAAAAAGAATGAAATTCTCCCATTTGCAACAACATGGATGAGCTTGGAGAAACTTATCTGAGTGAAATAAGCAAAGCACGGAGGGATAAAAACTGCATGTTCTCACTCATAAGTGGGAGCTAAGAGAGAAAGAAGGAAGGAAAGAAAGACCACAGTGGTGTGTTGGACTTGCAGAGGGAGAGAGCATACCTAGGGATACAAAGTGGAGTGGTCGAGAGGGGAATGGGGAGGGAGGTCAGGGATGATCGGGTGGGGGACACGGGGTACAATCACAATTTGTAGTAATGGGCATGATGTCAGTATGGATCTGCCCATCACATCTTGCCATGAGTGGTGACAATCAGCTTTATATCTCATGAATATTCATAACTAATAAAAAAGGAAAAGGTATTTAAATAAAATAGTCCTATAAGACAACTGATCTTTAGAGATTGTTTGCATTTCTTGTACTTTAACTTCCAAAACTGAAGTCTATTGTTTGTCTTAACTGATGAAATGCTGCCCTGGTAATAATGCTGTCATGGACTTAATTGACCTTTTTTCTTCCCACACGTTATAAATACATATAAGGTGTCTTTGTAAAGTCAGAAGAAAATCTTGGCATATCTCTCTTCTCCCATAAGCTAGACAGTATTCAAACCACGAATTTGAGAGTTAGAGAGTCTATTTCTCCTTTATATTAGCAAATAATGACAACTTAACAGTTGGCTGAACAATCAGGTAATTGAGAGTTTAAAAAACAGAGATACTTGCTGGCTAGTCCAAAGAAAATGCAGCAAAGGGAAGGAGCCACAATAAACTTCACTTGGTGACAGGCAGATAATGAGTTTTTCTCTTCTGTCTGTCTTTAGACATTTACAACAACGTCCTCCATCCCCACCTCCCTGCAGCCCTGGCCCCGCCATCACGGCTCCCAGCCTTCCTCTCCCAGCCTCAGCTCCCCCAGCTGTGATGAGCTGAGCTCAGCTCCTGACCAACGGCTGCCAAGGCAGAGCAAACCTACCTTGTTTCCTCAGGTTGCACAATTAGGAAAGTGACCTGTGGTTAAGAAAACAATGCTTTCCAGTAAGTTTTCTCTTGCAGTTTTCTAGGGATATGACCTGCAGGGACTTTCCCCAGGCACCAAGTCTGGCTTTTCTGCCCTTCCCAAGATGCCAGTAGGGAAGGCTCAGTATAAATACCAGCCGCTCTCCCTGGCAGGCAGGGACCAGCAGCTCTGCTCCACCAGAAATCAGGTGAGGAACTACTCCAAGGAGTGATTTTTTTCTTTTCTTTCTTTCTTTCTTTTTTGTTTAATTTACTTGTTTTCTCTTTCCCAACTATATTTGAGAAAGACTTACTCTCAAAAATTTCCTTTAAAAATAATTATGCTGCTTTGTATTAATCCGTGTGAGGTCTGCTCTGGACAGAGCGAATGCAGGGCAGAGGGCTGTTGGTGCATTTCAGGTTACCTTAGGGAGTGACAATCTGGTCCTAAACCCCCTCTTTTTC